TTCCCCTTACTGTTCTGTTCCATGCCCTTAGTGTTTTGCCTAGATGTGGTGGGATCGGATCGTTGTCCCCTGTAGGGTTGTGGGGTCAGTGAGGGATGTCTCATAGTGGGGCCGGCCATGTGGTCTCTATGGATTGGCTGCTCTGAGCAGGAATATCATCCTCAAGGCTTGGTGGGAGTAATTTTATTTTTATATTGTTTCTTCACATTATCAGATCAGTAAGTAAAGGTAATACATGCCAGATAACAACAAATATTATACCATATTAGAGGCCCATGTCTAGATCGTTTTAAGAAAAATGTTTTAAGAAAAACCTTCTTATCTAACTAATAGAATTTGTTGGTAATATGATAATTTCAAAGCCTTAAATGCTGAAATGTTTCAGTCACATCTGATAACAGTTACAACTTTGTTCTTTCAGATACTTTTATTAATGATCCTTTAAATTCCTGTCTTTTAAATATATATCTTATCCTCCAAAACCTTGCTACTGAAGTATCTAAAAGATTTGTATCAGTCATAATCTTTTGTACTAACTTAGAAGAATGAAGTATTTATTGTATTTATAGGATCTTCGAAATCAACTTTATGAATCCTATTATTTAAATTTTATTTCTGCTATTTCAAGAAGTAAACTGGAAGATATTGCAAATGCAGCATTAGCAGCTAGTGCAGTGGCACAAGTAGCCAAGGTAAGCGCTTTTGTTTCTCTGATAACATTATGTTACTGTTCTAAAGTTTGATAGTACTCTGAAACCTGTTGACATAAATTATGTTAATTGACATATTCAAATATTTACTCAAAAGAGTTTTGGGAAGAGTTGTGATCATGTAAATTTACAGATACAACTTGACCTAGACTAAAATTGAAGGAACCTAATCTAAAAAAAGTCAAAAACTCTCCAACTGATGAGCAGACACTGTTTTTGCTTTGAGTTAGCATTTCTGTAATCTTAGCTCAGTTAAAAAAACAGTTTGACAGTTGTGTGTTTTGAATTATCGTAGACAGTGTTTTAACAATGTGATCAGTAAAGTCAGCCTGTCCTTTCTTACTTGAAGACTGTAGAAGCTACTTTGTATCAGAGGGAAAAAAATGCACAGTAAATTAGTAATTTCTAATCATAGCAACTTTTTAGTTGGGCAGAATTCAGTTAATGCAGTGGTTGTCAACCTTCCTAATGCCGCATACAGTTCCTCATGTTGTGGTAACATAAAATTATTTTCCTTGCTACTTCCTAAATGTAATTTTGTTACTGTTATGAATCAGACGACCCATGTGAAAAGGTCATTGGACCCCAAAGGGGTCGCAATCCACAGGTTGAGAACCATTGAGTTAATTAATATAAATTCAAAATAATGTAGAATATATTCTTAGTTAATACCCTGTTGTACCCTGTTCTCCCTGAATTTGGATAAGAAATAAATGAAAATTCAAAGAAACTGTGTAAGTTAAATAAGTCAAATACTTAACAACTGTGCGTTTATTTCACAATTTTTTTCTCTACGCATTAGGTTTTTCATTTTTAAATATAGATGACCGAAACTACTTACTACTTCGAGCTTGATTTGAAGGCTCATGTCTTAATGTTCTTTCTTACTCTTCCAAATTGTATCATTAATGTAACATAAAACATTTTAGTTTTATCCATTTTAATTTTGTTTTCTAAAAATATTACTGATACTTATTATTAATTGCTACACTTGATCATAGCCAAAAGCTAAGATGCTTAATATTAATTGCTTAAATGCTTGTTTTCATTTATTTTTAAAATATTTTTAATTCCTTATTCTTGTCATTTAGGTTATCACCTGGAGTGTACAGTTTTTAGTTCTTGAATGTCACTTTTAAAAGTATTTTTCAAAAAAATAAATAAATAAAAGTATTTTTCACCATTGGAATAAAACTAAACTTACTTAAAACATTATTCTGTTTTTGAATTAATTTGTAAACATTTTCTTTTGTTGCTAGGTTTTTGACCAGTATCTCAATTTTATTACTTTGGAAGATGATATGTTTATATTATGCAATCAAAATAAGGAACTTGTTTCATATCGTGGTAGGTATATAAAGGAATATTGTACTTATTGCTAACAAAATGATTGATGTTCTATAAGAGAGATATGGTAAGCTTGTTTAATACATTCTAAAGCCAGCTTTGTTAACAGCAGTAAAACTATAAAATCATAAAATGACATATTTAAATACACTTTAGTATATATTTAAATGTAGAGTAGCTGTATAAATAACAGTTAAGATTTTTTAAAGCCTATAAAAATACCAACTCAAATGAATCATGGACATATCAGTAATGATAGATGGCAAGAATGCTTATAAATCTGTTTTTGTTCTAAATTTATTTTATTGAGAATATATACACCAAAACATATATCAAATCAGCAGTTTCTCTGTGTACAATTCAGTGATAATGACTACATTGCTGAGTTGTATGCAAACATTCTCCTTTTATTAGTTCTTCCTCCCCCATGAAAATAAATTAACTGGCTCCTAAGATTCTTATCTAATCTTTTGAGTGGCTCTTGTCAATATGATCCCATATCTTGCTGCTGTCAACTTGATTCCAACCCATAGAGATCCTATAGGACAAAGTAAGAACTATCCCTGTGGGTTTACCAGACTGTAACTCATGATTGGAGTAGAAAGCCTTATCTTTTTCCCATAGGCTGGTGGTTTCAAACTGGTGAGCTTGTGGTTAGCAGCCCAATTTATAACCTATCACACCACCAGGGATTCTCATGTAAGGAGTTCTGTAAAATGCATGATGCTCAAAGCAGAGTTTTTATTAATTAGGCTAAACTACTGTTTGGCTTAAGAAGTCTTCAGGGGATGCTTTTGGTTAAATTTTAAAGCTTCTCTCAGGACAATAGTTTCAGTGGTTCATCAATACTCAAGGCTCCAGAAATCTTGAATCCATGAGAATTTGAAATTCTGTTCTGCATTTTATTCCTTTTGATTGAGATTCTACTTCATGAAAATGGCCACTAATGGTAGCCTAGTAGCTGTAGTTTATAACTCAAATAGCAATTCTGTCACCTTTTAGGTCCCTTGATAGCAACTTGCCTGAAAGGTTTACTCATGGCAAAAAAAGACAGTATCTTTGCAATAGGATTCAGTTCACTGACTTTGGGCAAGAACACATTACTTCTCTTATTTTAGTTTTCTGACCTGTAAAATGGAAATAAAGATAGTATTTGTCTCAATTTGGGGGAGAATTAAATGGATTTAATATTTATAAGACTGAGTTTTCTACACCCATGAAGATTTCTAGTCTTAAGTGCATATATTTATAGGTTTAGTATTAAGGTAGCGGGTTGACATTGGACCTCCACTCAAGTTCTCCCTCAATGAAAGAACACTTTGTTCTATTAAACTGGCATTCCATGATGCTCACCTTCCCGACATGATCGCTGAAGACAAGGCTGATGCATAAGCAAATGTGGTGAAGAAAGCTGATGGTGTCTGGCTGTCAAAAGATATAGCGTCTGGGGTCTTAAAGGCTTGAAGGTAAACAAACGGCCAACTAGTTGAGAAACAACAAAGTCCACATGGAAGAAGCACACCAGCCTGTGTGATCATGAGGTGTCGATGGGATCAGGTATCAGGCATTAAAGAACAAAAAGATCATATCATTGTGAATGAGGGGGAGTGCGGGGTAGGGACCCAAAGCCCATCTGTAGGCAACTGGACATCCCTTACAGAATAGTCGCAGGGAAGAGATGAGCCAGTAAGGGTGCAGTGTAGCAATGATGAAACATACAACTTTCCTCTAGATCTTTAATGCTCTTCCCGCCCCCGCCCCCCCACCATCATCCCAATTCAACCTTACAAATCCGAATAGACCAGAGGATGTATACTGGTACAGATAGGAACTTGAAACACAGGGAATCCAGGACAGATGAATCTCAGGACCAATGGTGAGAGTGGCGATACCAGGAAGGTGGAGTAGAAAGGGGGAACCAGTCAAGATCTACATAATTACTCTCCCTGGGGACAGACAACAGAAAAGTGGGTAAGGGGAGACATCAGACAGTGTAAGACTTGAAGAAAAAAATAATAATTTATAAATTATCAAGGGTTCGTGTGAGAGGGGAGCAGGGAGGGAAGGGGAGAAATGAGCTGATACCAAGGGCTCAAGTAGAAAGCAAATGTTTTGAGAATGATGATGGCAACAAATGTGCTTGACACAGTGGGTGGATATATGGATTGTGGTAAGAGTTGTACGAGCCCCCAATAAAATGATTTTTTTAAAAAGATTTATAGTCTTGGAAAAAGGGTCACTATGAGTTGCAGTCAACTTGATGGTAATGACTTTGGTTTGGAGAATATTTGTAAACTGCATAGAAAAGATTCTGGAACACAAAGTACTAACTCAGTTAGCAATAGCTAACATCACAATTTGTCACGATCAGAAGACAGTACGTTTTTGAAGTCATCAGCTACAGCTGTAATGTATAGGCTATGAAACCCACTTGATTCTGGTAGTAGTAGGATTGATAAGTGTTTCATTTTCACAACTGAGATTTGGTATTTATTCAAATGCTATCTAACTGACCTAGAGTTCGTCTTTTTTATTTTGGTAACCTGGGATTAAGGTTAAAATTATCCCACCGCTAACAGCACATTATTGTGTATGCGGAAAATGTTCAAGAAAATTGAATACTATTGAATACTATATAGAGTATATAGGGCATGGTTTAAAATCAGGAAAGTGTATATATATATATACTTAGCAAATATATATATATATATGCTGTATTTTTTCATTATACTTATTCAATATATTTGCTAAGCAAATAATCCACGAAGTTGGAATAAATGAGGAACATGGCATCAGGATAAGAGAAAGATTCATTAACAACCAGCAATGTGCAGATGGCACAACCTTGCTTGCTGAAAGAGAGGAGGACTTGAAGCACTTGATGGAAGATCAAGGATTGCAGCCGTCAGTATGGATTATAGCTCAATGTAAAGAAAACCAAAATTCTCACAACTGAACCAGTAGATAACAACCTGAAACAGGAAAGTTTGAAGTCAAGGATTTTTTTTTTTTGGATCCACAATCAGTGCTCATGGAAACAATAGTCAAGAAATGAAACAACGTATTGCAAGAGGCAAATCTGCAAAAGACCTCTTTAAAGTGTTGAAGATCAATGTTGTCACTTGAGGATTAAGGTATATTTGCTCCAGGCCATGATATTTTCAGTTGCTTCCTATGCATGTAAAACTGGACAATAAATAAGGGAGGCCAAAGAAAAATCGATGCACTTGAATTAAGATGCTGACAGTATTGAAAATACCCTGGCCAGCCAGAGGAACAAACATCTGTCTTGAAAGAAATACAGCCAGAATGCTCCTTAGAAGCAATGATGGCAACGCTTAATCTCACATATTTGGTTAGATGTTCAAACTCCACAATTGTGAGGGTAACACAGGACTGGGCAGTGTTAGATTCTGTTATACATAGGGTCACTGTGAGTCAGAATTGACAAAGTGGTACCAACTACAACATAAAAGATGTGCTCAACTATTCAGTGGAATACATATAGTAACAGCTACTTAAGGATTGAAATATTTTTGGCATGACGATTTCTATGGCTCTTAAATGGGGAGTGTGGTCCGCTAAGAGGCATTTAAAAATGTATAAGGCACTTTGTTTCCACAATTACCAAGACTGTTGCTAACGTTTAGGGGCCAAGGAGTAGAACTCACACTCACCTGGTTATAACTGTTAACCTCTATAAAACACTTTCACAAACACATCCAATCTGGTATTTAACCAGAACAGCTAGATGCCATAGTTACTTGCATTCATAAAGTCATTACATTTAGCTTAAACAAAAACCACTTCAACTACCAGACCAGGTAAGTTTTTGGAAAAATTAATTGATTTTTTTCCACTCACCAACTTTTTGAAGCCACCTTGCATAGATGAAAAGAAATTCATTTAACTTTTAATACAAAAATAATTTGTGATGTTGGTTTTGCCACAATTCATTCATGCCTTTTCTGGCTGTAGCTAGTAGTTTCTTGAGAATGTTTTTTGTGAATAAAAATAAGGAATTAGGGTATTTATTTTCCAGTTTATGCTAGCAAAAATTAGGTCGATTGGCTTTTGTATGTTATTTTGCTTAGTATGACTTTACTGGTATTGATGTATCTTGTTTTGAGGTTGTTTAATTTTGTATGTGTGTAATTTAGGTGACAGTTTATATAGTAAATTAGATTTTCAATCAACAGTCCATATACATGGTGTTCTGTGGCATCAGTTAAATCCATCCAATGTGTCAGTACTATATTTCCACCCCTCCTTCCCATATTTATCTATCTAGTTTTCCCCTTTTTACCTTCTCATCTTTGCCTTTGAGTAAATGTTGACTATTTGTTCTCATAGCTGATTGTTTAAAGGAGCGTATTCCTCATAGGTGTTGTTGCATATTTAATAGGTCAATCTATTCTTTAACTGAAAGGTAACCTCGGGAATAAGTAGTTTAATTTTTAATAAAATCTTATTCTCTTAAACAATTTTGAATACTAGACATATCATCAAACTGCATATTGATTCAAAATTTAGTTAATAACTTTAAGATTTTAGTAAAAGACAAATGTAAAAAGTTTGATATTTTTTTCCCCTCTTATGTCATTTTAGCCATTAACAGGCCAGATATCACAGACACAGAAATGGAGACTGTTATGGACACTATTGTTGACAGCCTCTTTTGCTTTTTTGTTACACTGGGTAAGTAGTCAAATAAATTTGATTGCTTCTTCAAAGTGAATGAATTAACAACTGATGTTAAGTTTATTATGCTGTGATATGATTTTTTTTATCCATCTGGATCTTAATAGGCTTTCTCCAGATTTGAGTAAAATCATAATTCTTCCAATAACATCACATATTCCTCATGAGCATTTGGCAGATCTCTTAGAGGTTCATTTACTTCCTTAGCTCTCTTAGGCAATGGTAACTTTCTAAAACACATACCTGGTTAGAATGGTCTGATGGAGACATAATCTAAGTACCTGCTTCTCAATATTTCACTCAAAATATTGTAAACAACTTCACTAAGTCTGCTGTTTTCTTGCTTGAGCTGTTGCCCTGTAGACTTGCAAACTGGACAGTCCCTTTAGGAGGAAAGCTATTTAAAGTGCATCTCAACCTACATGATTCCTTTATTTGAAGACTTTCATGTTTCACTTATTGCTTCTGATTTCTCTGAATGCTTTCCACGATGCACATATTTTTTTAAATTTAAAAAGCTCATATATGCAACTTATTATTGTTGAATAGATATAATTAATTTTGTGTTTTGCTTTCCCACATGGTCTCCAAAATGTTACTGAATGCTAATTATTTTTCTTGGTGATAACCAAATTTTTTCAGTAAGGACAATTAAATAGCAGTATAAAGACCACTGAAGTGTTACAAACACCTCTATTATGTATGGATTATTAGAAAGTTGTTCTTCAAAGCACACAGTTAAATTAATGCCGTTTTGATACAGAAGGGTGTCAGTACTAATTGATTAAATGAAAAATAGGTGCTCATATATTAAAAATGAACCTAAGATCATCCACATTTAATTTTTAATGGGGATAATTTGGGGGAACTGGAATCAAGGGGTCCCATTTTACACAGGTCTACTGTTGTTTGATGGGAGCCCTGGTAATAGATTGATTACATGTTGTACTGCTAAACTGAAAGGTTGGTGCTTCGAAACCACCATCCACTCTGCAAGAGGAGATGAGATGTACAATCTCAAACTCACAGGGGCAGTTTTGCCTTGCTCTTTAGGGTTACTCTGAATTGGAATTGATAACTAAGGCAGTGAGTTTGGATTTTAAGAATATTATTTGAGTTTATTTTGATAAGCATATATAACTTGCTATCAGAAGAAAACAATGTTTTAAAAAATTCAGATAGTCCTTTTCCAATAGGATACAATGTAACAGCTTTAGCATAGCTGTATTACAATGTTTTGTTTGTTTCATAAGCTTTTCAATGCAATTGGATTTTTTCTGTTGATTTAAAACAGCCTTTGATAAAACACTGAAGTAATGAGAGAGAAATTAAGTTGGTTTGACAATGAATTGAAACCATATTTTAGGAACATTTTACATAATGTGAAGAATGTCTTTTCTATAATGTTTCAAACTATTTTTAAAAAGAAACAGCACTTCCTTGTTAATATGCAAAATGATCAAAATATAACAATTCCAATTGCTAAATTAATTGAGATATCTTCATTCTTTTACTTTTAAGTTACAGATTAAAGTGAATCCTGAGAGTAGAAAGTAACGGTTTTTGTAATGGCCTATAGGAACTCAAAATCTTAAATGTATCCTTTGAATTATCACACTGTTTTTCCTCTCTTACTCCATGAAATTCTCTTTAGAAGGAAAAGTTTATTTCTGGGACTTGATTTTACTTTTGAGATTATAAAACGTGTGTATATATAGTATGTTTGTTTGGTTTGATGTATTTTTTGTTTTTTCATCATTTTATTAGGGGCTCATACAATTCTTATCACAATCCATACACACATCCATTGTGTCAAGCACATATGTACATTTGTTACCATCATCATTCTCAAAACATTTGCCCTCTACCTTAATATTGGCTGCTCATTTTCCCCCTCACTCCCCATTCCTCCCTTCCTCATGAACCCTTCATAATTCATAAATCATTATTATTTTGCCATGTTACACTGTCCAACATCTCCACC